ACGCGGTGACGTAACGCGCAACGCTAACGTAACCGTAATCAACGTCCTACTGTGACGTGGCACTCATTACGCCACAGGCAAGCACTGCAGCTATATAAGTGGATGCACAGTGCGTATCGATCAGTTCGAGTTCCAGTGTGGCTACCGCCGAAGACCTTCCGAGTTATAAAGTAACAGCCAGCCGACTACAGTTGGAGTATAGCAGCCGTCGCGGTAAGAAGATCCAGACGTGTGTGCGATTGTGTAATTGGGAGCGTGTGATACAGTGATACAAAGCTCCCCTACTGTAAACGTGTAGACCACTGAAGACAGAGCGAACTGATTTGCGCATAGGGTTATAAATCGTGAAACCCCGCAACAGTGTCGACAGATTAATGCGATTAGGGTTATAAAGTGTGAAACCCCGCAACTGTGTGATAATTAATTGTAGCCGTTATTTGTAGATTGTTAAATAAACCAATTAACCATCTCTATGGCGTCTTCGGTAACGGAAAACACGTTACAATATATTCATCACTTTCTTGGTATATTTAATGATTCTTTCACTTGCACAGATTATATAGTTTCATATAACATGATGATTGGTGAATAATGAATTAGTATGTGGATGGAAATGATTGTGGCCTGACTTGAGGTATTGCACTGGCATTATCCTGGAGAGACTAATGAAAATTACAGGAAAACTCTTTGGCCGAGATTTGCACCTGGAATCTTCTATAATCAGAGCAGAAATTGTAACCACTGGATGGTGACACATTGTGTTCTTGCATCACACTGCCCTTGTGATCTCTGAAAACCTCAGAACAAGAAAGTGCCAATGGAATTTTGACTACTATGGTCAGTTGCCTTTGTGCAAAGAGATCTTTGTTATGGTATAACATGGGTGTCTACAAAACAATTTGTTAATAAACTTAATAAAATCAAATAAAAATTAAAAGGCTGATAATATTAATCTTTATTGCTGTTAATCTTTACCAGTACATTTTTTCAGGCATACAGATGATCAGCTTGTTAACAGATGATGGAAGGTGTACTAGTGAAATTAAATCCAGGATTGCCATGGCAAAAGCTGCATTTAGCAAGAAGAAGAATCTCTTTACCAGCAAATTGGACTTAAATTGAGGAAGAAACTAGTGAAATGCTACATTTGGAGCATAGCTCTGTATGGGGCTGAAACATGGACACTTAGGGCAGTAGATCAGAAACATCTGGAAAGTTTCGAAATGTGGTGTTGGAGAAGGATGGAGAAGATCAGTTGGACCGATTATGTGAGAAATGAAGAAGTGTTAATTAGAGTCAGTGAGCAGAGGAATATCCTACATGAAATAAGAAAATGGAAGGCTAATTGGATTGGTCATGTTTTATGCAGAAACTGCCTTCTAAAAGAAGTTATTGAAGGAAAGATAGAGGGGCAGATAGAAGTGGCAGGAAGACAAGGAAGAAGACATAAGAAGATGCTGGATGACCTTGGGGACAAGAGGATACTGTCATTTGAAGGAGAAAGCTCTAGATCGCATTAAGTGGAGGAATTGTTTTGGAAGAGACCGTGTACCTGTCGTCTGACAGGTTACTGATGATGATGGCAGATGATCATCAGGTGTTTCATAAATAAATTACATAACCATTTATTTGTAAATTAAAATGGATACATGTTTCACAGTGAACATTAACCATCCATTTATTTTTATTTGATTTTATTTACTTTATTAAAAAATTGTTTTGTACATGGCCACCTTATGCCTTGATTCCATAATACAACAGGATGCAAAAAATAAAGCTTTCATTAAACCATATAAATGAACATTATTGTATGTATTGCGTAGTTTACTGTAGGATCTTACAGAGTTACATGGAATTACAGGTGTAATGAACATGGACAATGTAAAAATGGCACGTGCTTGTGCGTGACGGGATGGAACGGACGTCATTGTACTATGGAAGGCTGTCCAAACAGCTGTAGTGGACATGGTCAGTGTCGAGTCAACAGCGATGGTGCATGGGAATGTCGCTGTTATGAAGGTTGGGATGGACGAGACTGTAGTGTTGCTTTGGAACAGAGCTGTAGTGATGGAAGGGACAATGATAAAGGTAAGTTCTTGCTTAATTTAGTTAATGTCACTTTCTTAACTGACTGCTTTAATCTTTGTCAGCTATATTTATATCTCCCGCTACTCTGACACTGGCAGTCTTGTTGAAACTTAGTAGTAATTCAATGATAGACCTGTATGAATCCTGCAGGGGTGTGTGGAAGCAGTGCATAAATTGGTACAGTTGTGTAATCTGAATTTATAAACAAAAATAATCATTTCTTAGAAGAGTAACTTTGGCTGAATTTCTTTGTTGTTTCATATTTTATATTTAAAAAGAAAATATTATTTATCCATAATTTCTGCAATAGCAAATTTATGTGTGAAATTTATTGTCATTATGTTCTCTTCTTGGGTCTTTGCACTGCGTGGATGTGGGCAGTTTGCTGACATTTCAGAAGTATATATTGCCTCCGTAGTCAGGGTCAAAATGAATACAGTGACTGAGCATTCATGTACACACAGATTTTGGTTCCTCCATTGGAGGAATTGTGGGCGCTGGCACCTGGTCTGGGCTAGTAGGGAGAGTGAGCAGAGAAATGTTATCAGATGGCTAGTTTTAAGGCCACTGACTGCAACAAGAAAGTGTTGATAATTTGTGTTCAAAAGTGGTCATCTATCCAACTACTTTCCAATCAGAATACTTCCTATAAGGGTGAAAATTTGTAACTCAATTGTCTATAATGCAGGGTCCCTCTGTATGTGAAAGGATGAGGAGTTTGTTAAAGTACAAAATAACTGCTTCATATAGTTCAATTTCTCGTTACTTAAAATTCTCAATATTAATATTCCAGATGGTCTAACTGACTGTGAAGATCCTGAGTGTTGCTCCAATCATCTATGTCGCAGTAGTCAACTCTGTGTGTCAGCTCCCAAACCTATTGACATTCTACTCAGGAAACAGCCCCCTGCCATTACAGCATCTTTCTTCGAGCGAATGAAGTTCCTTATAGAGGAAGGAAGCCTCCAAAATTATGCTCGCCAGGAAACATTCAACGAAAGGTAAGTTTAGTAACGTTGTGACATGACATTCCTCTAGTAGACACTAACATGTGAAACACATTCTTTCTCACTGAATGTCTCCTGTTGAAAGAAGAAACTGATGGAATCATTTGTTTATACTTGTACTTTGTACTTCCTGTCTTCTATGGACCTGTCACTTTGATACATTCTAGGATAAAATTGATTCTTTATTTCTCTCATCTGCTTTGTTGTGCCCCACGTGAAATCACCGTCCCAAGTTTTAGTATTTACGTACATGCGTATGTATGTGTGTGCGCGTGTGTGCGTGTTGAGATGAACTCAATAGGCATGGGAAACTGTATAGTTTGTCCCATAAGTCTGGAACCACAGACATCATTTGAGTTTTAATACAGCCTTTACAACTTACGCTAAATATATCCACCATTCACAATGATGCAAACATTTCTGTTAACCCAGGAGAATGGCATAAACTATTTATGATGTGATCTCAGTGCATGCATTTACAATTCACTCTTGAAGAGGCTATTGAGTATGATTTCAGGCTTATGGGACTTCCTGTACATAGAATTAGATGTGAAGACATTATTGAAAATCCTTAATTTCCCATGACTACCTAAATGCCATTGTTTTCATATTGTTCGCAAAAGAAGTGATCAAGTTAATGTGCATGATTGTGTGTTTGATTTATCATGATTGACATGAACAACTTTATTTGTTGACCACAATGCAGAGTTTTTAGATGATTACCGAATGACAGTTGTAACATGCACTCTTGTTAACCCTTGAAGACTTCTTCAGCTGGCACACTGCATACTGCATACTCTGTCAGCTACATTTAAATGTCAGTAAGTCCCTAATGTTGCAGAATAGTTTAAATAGTATCTTAATTTTAGATTTCCTTGGTGTATGTCAATAAATGATATGCATTCTTTGGTCATGGAAAGACCAGAGAAACATAGGGCTTGCATCTGTTGATGACAAGACATATACTAGCATAATCTAAACATGTACTTCGAAGTGTCTTGGAGGCATAGTACAGCCATTTTGGCAGAGTGGCTGATCATGTCTCAAGAGGAGTGTAACATGTGTTGGATTTGGGGTTCTCACAGCAGTACACGAAGAGTTCTGTCTTTTGGGGTGTAATGCCATTTGGTGGTAATATGATTTGGTTAGGCAAAAACTGAAGTGGAAAGGAAAGGAGGTCATGAAGAACATATTTACAATACTTCTACTGCAAAATTGAAATTTGCATGAAATTTCAGACAGCTGTAAAAGCAGAAAATGCGAGTACAAAGGTATTTTGGAACATAACGTATAAACTTTGAATAACTTAAGTTTCTTTAGATTTATTTTTGTATAGTATATGTCTACTTCTTTAGATACTACACAATTTTGTACTTTTTATCACGGGTTATTAAGTCACTGACCTACAAGCTGGTCAGAAAACTCTGTTTTCCTGATCTGAAATTGGAATATTTAGCTTCCAGCTAAGTTTTGTAATTTGTACACTGTGTTTGTAAATATGTTGTTTCCTCTGTGTTTTCTTAAAAAAATTTACTGTACTGGGAGTTTAATTGCTGAGACAGCAATTTCTCCATGAAGATGGTTCTTTGAACTTCTTTTTTAAATATAAATGTAAGCTATAAAGTGTAAAAGGAATTGGCAGTCACTGCATGTTTTGAAGAAAGCAGTCTTCTGGGATTTGGCACCGTGTATATGTGGTGTTAACCACATCCCAAATCCAATGCCAAATCCCAGAAGACTGCTTTCTTCATAGTCACCGCCGTGAAAGCCTCAAATCTTACATACTGCATGTTTTGATGGAGTTTCAGCAAGCTGCACTTACAGTTCATCTACATTTGAAACGTATATGTAGAAAAAAGTGACATCTATGCAAACAGGGACAACAAGCCCATAATGCGTGCGCTCGCACACACACCCACACACACACACACACACACAGAGTAAACTTCAAAACATCTGTTGGCAGGATTGGCAGTTAATATGTCAGTGTATCTCTTGGGGGTTTGTCAAGAAGATGACAATAATAAAATGTATGTCACTGTGTGAAGAGTGTGAGTGATGATGTTTTTGGCCACTGTACAGCTGTATTGGGCCTCAACACTTCATAACCTTCATTTCAATGGATAGCATGTGATGCAATGGGCTGATGTTTATTGTAAAGTGTTAACTAACATAACATTTCTGTAAAGCAGGACTGAGAGTGCAGAGTTTTCTGTAATTCATATATGCTAACATGTAACACATTCTTCGAACATTGTCAAGTATTTTATGGTCGACTGTTAAGATGAGACTATATTTCTAAAAAGGAATGAATCAAAAGTATGCTGTGACATTGCTTCAACTTCCACTGTGTTCATTAACACCACTTGTGTAATTGATGAAGGCACTTCATAGTTGACTGACACATTTAATATTTCCTGTACCATAGCTAAACCAGTCACAGACTAGTTTCTCAGTTTGGTACTCAGGTTAAATTCCAGGTGACTTTATCTCAGATTCATGTTGGTCGAATTGGCCCTGGAGCAGGTTTCTGTGTTCCTTCATTTTTTCCATACTTATCACTCCATGACTGCTCCATACAAATTTATTACTGTCTCCTGAGGCATTTGATAGCCTCACATGACATCCTTTGTCTTTAAAGTTAGTGACTTCATCTCTAACCTGGTATTTGTCTGGTTATGGAGTAGAGCAGCATGTTGAATTACTGTACATATAATTCATTATCAGGGATGTAGACATGACCTCATCTGTTTCTCCTAATTTTCCCATTCTGAAGTTTTATTGTTAAACATTTCATTATGGTTTTTGCTAGACATAAGCAGAAAATAATCTGAATTAGTTCTGAATTGGGACACCCATGCTGGCGACAGATTTGGCCTAGAAGTCAGGTTGTACAGAAATGCAATGACATGACCTGGTTGTACTTACAGAACTGTGTTCTGTCTCTTTTGCATGGAAATGCATGTTTGAAAGCAAGCAATAAAAATAATTTATGGACTTTTAGTGGGGTGGTGAATCTGCTTACTTCCTTTGCCTAGCACAGATGCAGCTAAGAAACACTGTGACATAAAAGTTACACAGTGCATAGAGCTGATTCCAAGCGAAGCATTACAGCTTGTATTCGAGTGGGTAGTAGAATATTCCTGCATTTTTATGTGTTGTACATTGCATTGATGGGAAAATCAGGGCATTTGTCATTAGCCATATGCACTTTAAAGTGCATTGCTGGATTTCAAGTATATCTATTTTTCCCCCTAAATAATATGTCCAGATATGAGGGCTTTCATTTCAAACAAGTGCAGCAATAAGACAAACAGTGTGAACCACAAATATTAATTACAGTGCTTTTCAGTCCTGCTTTGTGCAATCAGTAAATAATCCCTTTTTCAGTGCAATGCATGTTCACTAAGAAATGAGAAGCACCTTGTGTGAAAATAAAAATAGGGGTGGGGGCTTCTTTGTTATTCACTGGACTATGGTTAACTGTGTGGGCCTGTTGTTTTTCTCGGTGCTGCCCCTCAGTGTGTTCTGGAATCACTTCAACACCAGGTAAGAGCAATGTGCACATAAGTGACAGCCACGTAGCATAGTGCTAATTGTTGTTTCACAGAATGACTAGTCCATCAGCTTTTTGTTTTGTGACATTTAAGGTTCTGAGAGCAATGACTGTAAAGATTATTATCTTCTGAGTTGTGGTAGAAGTTTACTGAAGTTTCAGAAGAAGGTGTGGCTTCCATCTTTAAGGATGAAGAGTTAACCAAGCAAGCAGCAAACAGAGGGCTTCCTGATTGCTGCTTGCTGGCCTTAATCTTCAACACCAAAGATGGATCCAAGACATTCCCCCTAAACCTTAGTAAATACTACATGACAGCTAACAAACACAGCACTGTTCAACTTTTTGTTTAACTAAGGAATGTTGTAATTTCTTTACAACATTCATTTGCAAATGAGGTGAAATCACTTCTATGCCTGTATTTGTATCTGGATCTCACTAGTGGTATGGGTTTGAAATCTGTGATTGCTGCATGGTTCTGTTTTTGTTATGGACCCAATATTGTGTTTCTGTGACTTTTAAGTTTGCTTTGTCCGTGTCTTGTTTACAGTTTCTGTGGTTGAATATCTGTTTGATATGTTTCTCTTGCCATGGAAACTTCCTTTAGCTCGCCATGTGAATTGTTTTTGTGGACCACTACACATCTTTGTCTGCTCTTGAAATTCTTTTTCCTTTTAGAATAATTTATCACTTCTTAACATTTTTAAACTGCAATAATAGCAATTATTATTATTACAATTATTATTAGAGAATAGAAAAAAATGATTTTGAAACTGGTATTAGTGTAATGCCTGAATAAACACTACTATTCTACGCTGTATTTGATAGAGTTCACAGTTGATCGCTTTAATGCATTTAAAATATTGTTAAAATATGTATATTGTATGTATGCATTTCATTTTGTCAGTCATTTTATCAGCATAGAAGTAATATTTGCGCATTTGAAGATATACTTCATATAATTGAATGATTCCTAGAATTATCTCATAGTGGCCTGCTAGTCGGTTGAGGAATGGTATATGTTTTCATCGAAGTAGCACTTCTAACAGAAATATATTTTTATATAACTAAGTTTACTGGATACTGCTCATATATAGTTCTTCAGTGTTTATTTGAAGCATTTCTCTATGACTCATCAGCAAGATATATTAGCATGACATATCAGGGGATTAAAATAACTGCTTTATTATGAGGCCTTCCTGCTGATTTTAGTTACAATAGAAGTTATAGCCTTTGCCATAACACCAGTGTAGTTCCTTGTACATTTTAGTTATGACATACAACATATGTTCTTGTTTTGGAAATTATAGAATTATAGAGATATATTCAATTTTATTGTAAGAATTTAAAAGTAATTTCTGCATTGAGGCACTGATGTTAGTCATATCTAGAATAATTCTGATATGATTTAAGATATTTTAAATTACCAAAAGCAAATATCCTTTTTCATGATGCAGTTATTAACATAGCAGTAATGTTTGAAATAGCCTCTAAGCCAATCCAGAGTTTTGGCACAAAGCATTAGTCTAAGTGATGCTATTATCCCACCTTTTAAACACGTGTGTGCTGAAATTAACTTTACTTTTAGCAAGGATTACTGATCTCCAGTCATGAGAGAGATAAGACGTAGTAGTCCTCTTGCCTGTTCCAGCCGATCAGCTGTGGTGCGGGGACATGTTGTGACATCGATGGGTATGGGACTGATGGGCGTACGAGTGAGCACAAGCACTCCTCTGGAAGGTTTCACACTTACTCGCGAAGATGGATGGTTTGATCTTTTGGTAAATGGTGGAGGAGCTGTAACCCTCCAGTTTGGACGCAGCCCTTTCCGACCCCAGAGCCATATTGTCAGTGTTCCTTGGAATGAGGTAAGAGTGTTCTACATGTGGAAGTTTTTTTTACTTAAGAATAAAACACTTCTTGCAGCAAGTCACCAACTTAATCCTAACTCCATGAAGTGCAGTACTTATTTAGATGCTAATAATTTCCAAGTTAATTTTACATAAATTAAGAAATTTAATGACTCTAAAGAAGCAAAATAAAGTTGTCCTACATAATTGAACACCATGTAATGAAGATATATAGAGGAGTAGAGGTATTTTCCCACTTATTCTAAACTTCAGTACTAGATGGAGGTGAGAAGTCAGCCTCACCAGCTGCTTTACCACTGAAGAATGAACCTCTGGTAATCACTGGTTAGGAGGCTGGGTGGGCCCCAGAGCTGTTCTGGACCTGGCAGAGAAGAGAAATGTCTCTTGTCCCTGCTTGACAGCAAATCCTGATTCACTTATCATAAAACCACAACAAAAGACTTTATAAAACCAGTTTTAATTAAATGTGTATATTTTTTTTACATTTACTGAACAGAAGGAATGTTGTGACAGGAATAATTGTAATTACCTTACAGACATGTAGACCTTTATATTGCTTGACACTTAACAGCTTTTATAAAATTGAATTCCAGTATTCTCAACACTCATTTCATCTTAGATGAGTATTATGGCACCAATCACAGTGGTGGCACAGTCAAGGCAGGAACTGTCTTTGCCTGCTGAAACACTGAATCCCACTCAAGGAATAGATTTATTCTGTGTTTATGTTATTTTGTGTGTAGGTAGCGGCCTTGTGATGGGCTAATCCCCCATCCAAGGAGTCATACTATGTATAGGTTCAAGAAACTGAAAAATCAGCCAAGGCCCAAAGGGCTATAGAGCAACAGAGAGAGAAAGAATACATCTGTATTTTTTAAATAAGAGTCAAAGAAATAACAACAGCAGACTTAAGATGTATCTACTTGCCATATGCAGTATTTTGCAAGAGTAAGGAAGTATTCATTACACTTCATAAATTTTTTTTTAAATCTGTGGGAAACTGACCAAGAAAGTTAATAGCTAATTCTTTTGCATATAGAAGTTGAAAGAAACAGAAAAAACAGACACACATAAAGTGGAGGAATATATACCACAGAGATATTTTGAGCAATATAACAGCATATATTTTGTGAGATTTGAGGCTTGGAAGAAAGTGACTGTGAATTGGTGATTATCCAGCAGACTACGTGCCGTCACACCCTACAAGATATAAATCTTCGTTCTTGTGTTTCTTGCCTGCAGGTTGTGATTATTGACACAGTTGTAATGGAGATTGGAGATGAGAAAGCTGTGCCTTTGGTACCTCACTCATGTGCTGCTCATGACTATGACCTCATGAAACCAGTGGTGCTTGCAACATGGAAACATGGCTTCCAGGGAGCTTGTCCAGATAAGAGTGCAATTCTAGCCGAGTCACAGGTAACAATTAATGTTACATTTGTACTATACAATTACATTATTTTCTTTACATGAAATTTAAGGTTCCCATGGCAGTGACAATGAAGATTGCAGTCATCTGGGGTGTCACACCATATACAAGCATTCTTGAGGAACCCCTTGCCTCCGTTTTCAGTGAAGAAGAGTAAACCACAGTCTTATCAGTGTTACAGATTTCTATGCAGTTTGCCTTACTCCCATTGGTGTGATCTAAACTCCAGTCATTTGACTTTTTCCCTATATTATTGGCCACTATTACCTATGTATTTTAGTCTTCTACCCTGAAGATGGAGGCAGCAGTACCTAGAAAACCTTAGTATATATCTACCACACTATACAGGGTCACATGACAGGAGATTAATTTTAACTTCCTACTCTGTAAATACACAATTGATGGGATGGAGATAAAGCCTCAAACTTAAAGACCAAGAATGTTATAATGTGTTACCTGATAAGGGATATGACATGTCTTAGTAGGTGGCGATAGATGACTAAGGAGGAATGGCTGAATGATAATTAGCAGAGAAAATTAAAGAAATCTTGAGGAAAGTCCTACTGATTTCCCCACGTCAGAAAAGGATTCCTTGCCTTTGTCTAATTGGGCTGGAATGCTCAGCATAGTCAGTCATATATGAAGGTACTGAAAGATAAACAACATCTTGTACTGTGATTGTTTCTGAATAAGGTAATGGTAAATTTGTCTTTATGTTTAACTAAGAACCACACCAAGAAGATGCATGGGTAATAGGAGCTATAGCTCCATGGAACTTCAAACAGGCAGAGGCAGAGGTATCTCATATTTCATATTTAATGTGTCTTCCAGAGATCTATGTACATAGACAGAATCAATCATTGTTTATACTAGATAACAAAATAATAATAAGATATTTAATCATACAATATAAATCCAAATGTGGCAAGCTTCATTCCCCAGCTGCTTTACACCTCATATCCATTGTACAGGAAGCTGGGTGGGCCTCAGAGCCAGTCTGAAATTATAATGAAGAGAAAAATCTGTTCCTTCACTGAAAATCGGAACCAAATTCTGTGGTCTTCCAGCCCATACCCCAGTCACTACACTGCATGAGTCATGCTGGTTCTAATTTACAGTATCTCATGTGTTCTAACACCACATAATTCTTTAGCCTGATGTTGAAATATCTATGAGAGAGCCCAAAATAATTACACAATAAAAAGGAAAATATAATAGAATAATCACGAATTAATCGTATTTATGTTTTCTTCTTCCAGGTTGTGCAAGAAAGCTTGCCTATCCCAGGTACTGGCCTCAATCTTGTATACCACAGCTCTCGTGCAGCAGGCTATTTGTCCACCATCCAGCTTCAGTTAACACCAGAAACAATCCCAGCTTCACTCAAACTCATCCATCTTCGAATCACCATTGAGGGAATTCTTTTTGAGAAGACCTTTGAAGCTGATCCAGTCATTAAATTTACTTATGCCTGGAATAGGCTTAATGTTTATAGGCAACGTGTTTATGGTGTAACAACTGCTATGGTTAAGGTTGGCTATGAGTACAATGATTGCAAGGACATTATTTGGGATGTACAAACACAAAGCTCAGTGGACATGACATGAGCATCTCTGAAGTTGGAGGATGGAATCTTGACATTCATCATAGATACAACTTCCATGAAGGTATAAAACTGAGTACAATAACTAACTAACACATGGAAAATACAAGAAAGAATCAAAACATGTTTAATATTGAAAACTAGGAAAGTGTACATTCTTTTAAGCATTAATTGTCTAAGTTTCAGGCCACAAATCAAGTTGAAAACAAAATATTCCACCAGTACTTACAGTTTCATGAAGAGAAAGAAAGAATAATCTTTCCTAAACATTCAGGTTTCAATATGTACAGTAAAATTCCCCATACAAGGCTTCTAATATGGAACAGAAATACATAAAATAAACCGAAGTAAATCTTAAATGACTGAAATTTAACACTGAGGTTAGTGTCTATGGATCACTCAAATTGAACATGAAATGAAGTAAACCCCTAAATTCAGGAACATGAAATTGGGGGGGGGGGTCCACTATATTGTATTTATTACACATTCCAGCACATCCATACAAGGCCGAAGCAATTGGATACAGAACCTGTATCTCTTTTATATCCTATTTCTGTACTCTCAAATTATTTTCTACTAAAAACTGTATTTTATAAAAATTTGTCGATAAAAATAGGTTCCACTACTTAATTTATAATTCGAAAAAATATGTAAAGTATATATTCAACATGTTTCCTATTCACAGTGGCAACAGCTATTCCCTTACCTCTGTCTGTGCTTACTTTAAATTTGTTTAGCAATGATCAGATTAAACTTGTGTAACATTATTGACAATGCACCCTTTATAAAAAGGAGACCTTGAAGTTGAAAATATGTTTCTATTTTCAAATATAAAAGTTTGTGTAATGTTTCAAACCTTCTATTTTCAAATTTAAGAGTTGGTATATTGTTTCAAACCTCAGATATATTATCATCCCTCTGAACAGACATTCATTGACTTTCATATACAACTTATCTCTCCTTGGTATGAAATCTGCTCTTGTTTGCTAATTGTTTATTTATAAATATTAATTATTGAATCCACTCCTTTAGATGTCTTCATTATTTTCAGGCATACTTCAAAAGGGAGATGGTTCCAATATCTATCTGAAGCATAAGCCACGAGTAATATTGACTTCAATGGGTGATGGACATCAGCGCCCTCTTGATTGTTTTGAGTGTGATGGCCAAGCATCTAAACAGAGATTATTGGCTCCAGTAGCTCTTGCTGCATCTCCTGATGGTTCTATCTTTGTTGGGGATTTCAATCTGGTCCGAAGGATCCTCGTGGATGGAACAGTGAGGACTGTTGTGAGACTGAAGTAAGCATTATTCATCTGAAGTTTCATTTTAATTTTTTCATAGATTATTTAACAATGCTGTCAGTATCTAGACTTTGTAATGTCAGATGGCAGGATAGCCAATTTACAGTGAATTGGAAAGGATGTGGAAGGAAGTGGTCATAGTCTATTGTAGGTACTCTCTTGGCATTTTCTTGGTGGGGATGAGGGAAACCAAGAAACCTCTCAGTCAGGATTGCTGATGTCCTGGCTGGAATTTGAATCAAGCTCTTCCTGAATAGAAGACTTGAGCATTACCTGTAGATCATCCACTTCATTTTTGAAGTGTAGCACCATAACTGTCACACAAGCACAAGGTGAACATGTGTAAATAATAGTGGGGGCATGGACCATGGTGCTGTTCAATGGCACATGGCTCGATACATGTGTATGTTTCATAGTTCTTAATCACAAAATCCCATTTCACTGAATAGCACTATGCTCTACACTACCTCCCTTTCTGCCAGTGAGAGACTTACATTACACAAACTATCAACATAGTTAAAATTAAATTTGCCCTTGGGGCACGCTGTAGTGTAGTTGGTTGAGGCACTATATTGGAAGCAAAAAGGTCATGGGATTGATTCCTCATAAGGTCACTTTATTTTTTTCAATTGACCTAATCCTTACAGCAACACTATGGCCCAGGGGTTGACTCAACCTCTAACAGAAATGAGTACCAGAAATCTTCCTGGGAGTAAAGGGTGGCTGGAGCATAAGGCTGACAACCTCCTCACCATCTGTGAGTCAATTGTCTAGAAAATGTGTGAGCCTCGACCTTTCTGAACCACATGGGCCACTGTAGCCAGTTACAGGGATAGATTACCTTTTATTAAAATAACCCTGCATGTTTCAGCAGCATATATTTGTCATGTTCAGTGCCATTTCTTGTTATTACTGTGGCATGCTATTGAAATTCTTAGGTATTTCTTGAAATATAATCTTGGTAAATGTGTAAGTATATATGACAATTGAGAATATCATAAAAGCTCATGAAACTATTCAAATATTTTTAATTATTCTTACTCCCTTGCTCTTTCACTGTATGATCCTCCAGCACCCTTGGGCTACTTTATGGCAAATGTTCATTCTTCCCTGTCATTTGCCTCCATCTCTTCACTTTCATGTCTTATGTATCATTCTACAAATCTTCCAGCCATGTCAGTCTGGGCCTTCACTATTTTCCTAAACTAAGGACAGTCCAAGCAGCAAGATCTAGCTTATTGTCTGTATAACCTCCCCTTGGTCATCATCGTAAATTATATGTCTGGCATCCCATCATTGTGTTTGTTAAACTATACTGTTTCTTTAGATGCATTTATAAGCCTTACAGTTGGCCACAAACTTGGAAAATAAGAGCTTGTCTGGCCCCTATCCATTGATCTATCTAGCATGGGTAACCCTGCAAGGAGCTTCACACTGCATCATAGCTCTTCAGGTGAACAGAGCATGTAAACTTCCCATCATGCCGCAACATCCCAGTGGGAGTTTGTTATTATTTTAGAATTCCACAATAAAATTATTATATAAACTGCTCCCATGAAAGTTGAATTGTATTATTGCTGCATGATGTGAATGAATATATTTTGCCCAGTATCTTATATAGCTGAGGAACAGAATAATAATCATGGTTCCAGTCATGAAACTAACAACAAATAGGAACAATCTCTACCATTGTCATCTCTGTCAGTCCTAAGTAGCACTGACTATATGATCTGTAACATGTGTTTATCATTCTTACAATGTACAATTCTGTGACTGCACAGTGCAACACGCGTGTCTTATCGGTACCACCTAGCTCTCAGTCCACTGGATGGAGTTTTGTACATCTCAGACCCAGAATCCCATCAGATCATCCGAGTAAGGAGCATAGAGGACTACTCAGATCCTGATCACAACTGGGAAACTGCAGTCGGCTCGGGTGAGCGGTGCTTGCCAGGGGATGAGGCACATTGCGGAGATGGAGCACTTGCAAGAGATGCCAAACTTGCATATCCGAAAGGTTTGTAGATATGATGACTAATAAGCAAATAATTATTTTGATATCCAAAATAGTTCACATAGGATTTGTGAAGGACAGGGTGGCACTGAAGCAGGTTCTTCTCCAACAACTTCAGCCTTTCCTTCCCAGTTATCAGTTCACAAATGGTCAGCATTCAATTATCACAAGTGACTGGTAAAATTCTAAACCACATTAGTGAGAGACTCACTCTCATCCAGCTCTTATGAAAGAGAAATTCAATTCATTTTAGTTCTTTATTTATTTATATGCTTACTCAACAGCCCAGAGAGCACTTATGATATGAGCACGAGCAAAGAAAGAAACAAAACAAACACACAAACAGATGATGATACAAGGAAAATTCTGTTGTTTAGACAATAATAACAATTCAGTTACTGCATTCTTGGCATCTGTGATGTGGTTGGAAGAAAATGTTGTAATATAATAACTGTTTTGTTTTAATACATTTACAGGAGTGGCTGTCTCAGCTGACAATGTGTTGTACTTTGCTGATGGCACCAACATTCGTATGGTTGATCGTGATGGCATTGTGACAACTGTTATTGGCAATCACATGCACAAGTCCCACTGGAAACCAATTCCTTGTGAAGGAACTCTAAATGTGGAAGAGGTATCTTCATTAACTTACTTTGCTCATTTGTTATCCAGACTGCCAGTAAGAGCCTCCATGATGAGTGAAAACATTTTTCAAAGCCTATGATTAATCAGATGCTTGTAACTTTTTATGGTTAACATGAAACAAGTGTCAAGTCTTTTGAGGCAATCTACTCCTGATTTTCATGTATTTCATAAGAGAAAACTGTTGGCAGTTCTTGAAGACGGCAAGTGAAGGAGATTCAGAGTCTAGTGATATGCCAGTATGGATCTCATTGTAGTAGAATTAATGATATCTCTGAACTTCTCCCTATTATCTGAGATATTGAGCTCTTACATCAGTGACTATTGGTTTGTTGTTTATTTAATGGCAGTATAAGTAGATCAAATTCATTTGAATATTACTCTCTTCTGGTACATGACATTATGTATTCTTGTACATATTAACAGTTTTGGAGTAACCTGGTGCTACCATATTCAGGGTAGGAAAGTCAACCTTCTACCCTGAAGATAGTGACAGCATGCTCCTCTGAAATGTTTGTAAATATATACTAGATTACATGGTGTCACATACTAGAAGAAACTAACACTGTAACAAATTTATTTCAAACAAAACTGTTTAAAACATGGTTATTTTTTGCTTAGCTACCTGTTCTTCTTCATAGGTTCACTTGCGTTGGCCAACTGAACTGGCAATCAGCCCTCTAGACAACTCCTTGCATATCATTGATGACCACATGATCCTGCAGTTGGCTCCTGATGGTCGTGTCAAAGTTGTAGCTGGACGCCCATTACACTGCCCATCACCCGTCGGAGGCTATGATACTGAACTGGCAACACATGCTACATTAGTGATGCCACAAAGCATCGCATTTGGCCCCTCTGGAGACCTGTATGTGGCCGAGAGTGACTCGCAGAGGATCAACAGAGTGAGAGTGATTGGAACTGACAGCAAGATCTCCCATTATGCTGGAGCTGAATCCAAGTGCAATTGCTTGGACCGCGGTTGCGATTGTTTTGAAGAAGACCATTTCTTGGCTTCCACATCTAAGTTCAACACCATCTCCTCCGTGGCTGTGACACCTGATGGTATTCTGCATATAGCAGATCAGGCAAATTACAGGTATATTGTAGAATGCAGTGTGTTAACAAGCCTCACCATACAACTATCTATTAGGAAGAGCTGTGCCCTAGCTCAGGTTTTTCACTGCAGTAGTCTGGGTGATCTCATGTGTCAGGTCATATAAGATTTGTTATGGATGAAGAGACACTAAGGTGCATTCTCTCCAAGTACTTTGGATTGCCCTGTAAATTCTCATTCTCCCAACTGCTCCATATTCATTAGTCATTCTAACATTTACACTATGTAGTTTTGATAAGAATCATGACAGGAATGTGAATGCTGCTTGGGAGTAAGTGCTGCTGCACAGAAAAGAGCAAGTACTTTTAAAGACAAACTTCAAACAATCAAATTTGTATATAGTATGAATGTGTGTTCCTTTCACTAAACTTGAGCCTATCTCTTTGGCTGTGACAGCTTTAACATAAACACGTCAAACCAGTCTAATCAGGTTATGGCATACAAAGAACTAAAGAAACTCAGGTGATGGCACATTATACATTCAGTATATAATCATTGTCACTTGTTAGTTAGTTATTAATGATGCTGTCACTGCTGAGATTAATAGCATCAGTGATAAAATTATTAATGAATATGGAGCAATTAAGACATAAAAATTTGTGACAATTGTACATTAGTACAAATATTATGTTTCTGGACATTAGCCATTGTCCTATTTTCATGTAAAAGACCATCCTTGTGGGGAGGAATGAAACCAAAATACTTAGAAAGAACCCCCTCTAGTGCCACTATGGCACATCCTAATGACAGAAACAGACTTCTTCCTTTTCAAGTTCTCTGAATGAAAATTTATATGCACCTCATTCTTTTTGGTTTCTTCATCCTACTAATATTTTTAATAGTTTTAAGGAGCATTTACTTTTGTAACAATTTACTGTAGCTTTAAACACATAAGGAAATGGGAAAATATTTTGTACTATCTTCTGAAATGTGATGCCATGTAGTCCAGTTGAAGTTCAAAATCTTATAGGCATGTACCTCTTCAGTCTTCAGTGTTGATTAGTAAGACATTCAAGCAACTCTGCCTGCTTGCCTTGCTCTTTAAACCTGAAGATGGTACTCTAAAAGAGTACTTTCTATGAGACTTCATTGTGTCACAACTCAGAAGACAACTCTTCAGAGTCACCACTTTGAGAACCTCAAATCCAACAAAAAGAAATGTCATTTTCACTTTGTAATCTATACTCACTTACATGACATGAACCATATCCTGAATAAGTCTGATATCTCAACAATATTTTTATTTCTGTTTCTCAAACTTTAGGATTCGATCAGTAACAGCCAGTATCCCGGATGCAAGTGTATCGCGAGAGTATGAGATATTCTCCCCAGACACACAAGAGATCTATGTGTTCAACCGATTTGGACAACACATTGTGACTCGCAACATTCTCACTGGAGAGACAAGTTACCTCTTCACATATAATGTGAACACGAGCAATGGGAAACTGAGCACAGTGACAGATGCTGCAGGAAATAAGGTGTTCCTCCTGCGTGACTATTCAAGCCAGGTTAACTCCATTGAAAACACAAAAGGTCAAAAATGCAGATTACGGATGTCACGGATGAAGATGTTGTATGAACTGAGTACACCTGATAATTACAATGTCACATTCGACTATCATGGTCCAACTGGATTACTCAAAACTAAACTTGACAGTACAGGACGTAGTTATGTCTATAATTATGATGAATTTGGACGCTTAACATCTGCTATTACACCAACTGGAAAGGTCATCAGTCTTTCATTTGATCTCAGTGTAAAAGGAGCTACTGTGAAAGTTACTCAGAATAACAGGAAACCTGTGTCGATGCTCATCAAGGGCTCCAGTGTTGTCACTAGGCTAGGTGAGTGCATTCCCTCTCAGACTATCAGTATTTTCATATTTCATTCATAAGCTATCCCACTGCTTAATGAATTTAGCAGCATGCCATGAAAACATATGGAGGAGTGGAAGTATAGCTCCACCATTCATAACCTCAGAACTAAATGGAGGTGAGTTGTCAGCTTCACACACATGCCACTCTTGTGCCAGGGAAACATCTGCAGTATCCACAGCACAGGAAGCTGGGCAGGCCCCAGAGCCAGGCTGGATATTGTGGGGAAGAGAAAAATCTCTTTCCTCTGCCAGGAATTGAACCCCAACTTCTCTCCCATTCATCCTGTAGGCTGTTGCTATGCTGACTGAGCTATACCCCCATAGTTTATTCGTGGAATTTGAAAATTAATAGGCTTTAATAAATAATTTTATATTATTACTATTGGTGTACTTCAAGTGATGACTGTTAAAGATATTGCTTGGTTTAGGAGAGTTTTTCAGTTCTTAATTGTTTCTCTGAAGTACCAGTAACAACTGGCAAGCATACAAGTTGTTACAACCCAGAATAATTACACGTGTAAATATTGTTGCATCTTTATGTAATTGCATACAGATACTGTGTATTACTTGGTTTATTTTCAAATTTGTTAGATGCTAATCTGGATGTTCAGTTTAGATTTATTCAAAATTGCGTTTTTTTTAGGTGAAGCAGAACACCGAACTTTGGTTCTGGCAGATGGCAGTGTGGTCAACATGGCTCCTTGGTCTCATACTGTGAGTACCGATACTGTTCCCTACACAGTTCTGTCAGACATTGACCCTGTGTTGGGTGAGAGCTTCCCAGTTCCAGCCAAGCAGAAAACTGAGATTGGAGGAGATCTGGCTAATCGTTTTGAATGGCGATATTTCTTACGGCGAGCCCAAGGTGGTGGCAAATCTGGTGGTGGCAGAGGTAGCGGCAAGCCTGTGGTGCAAATTGGACGGAAACTACGGGTTAATGGTGAAAACCTGCTTACTACAGAATATGATCGTGAGACAGGAACAGTGGCTGTTTTCATGGACGATCGCATCACTGAACTTCTAAATGTGACTTATGATCGTACTGCAAGGCCTGTCAAATGGGGACCAAGGTACATTTTAATTCATTGTAATTTAAATATCATGAGAACAATATTTTAAATATGAAAACTGGTTGTATCAATTTACATTTTCATATAAGGTTTACAGTTATAGGGCAGAATGTTCAGACTCTTCATAATATCAATATGAAAACATATTCATAATGACTCTCTCCATGTCCATAAATTTATTAAATGTTGACTGTATTTCAATATTAAAAAGGGTGTCAGTTCAGTCACATTGAACTTTTCTGTTTTTTGTTCTGCATAAAAGAATCTGTAATTATATTCTTCATATCAAACTTTCATAGTTCCCATGATATCACATTTACCTTTATGTCAGGAACGGGATTTTTGCTGGTGTGGAGTTAGAATATGATCGCTTCAGTCGCCTGACAAGCTGGAAATGGGGAGATCTCACTGAGAGCTATGGCTTTGACAGAGCTGGACGCCTTTCTGAGATACGCTATGGTGATGGATCAGCGATGATCTATGCTTTCAAGGATATGTTCAGCAGTCTGGTAAGTAAATAGACAGTGATACAACACAGAAGTACCTCAGTGTAATGATGCTGGTTGTTCAAAGCACACTTGACTTATGCCTTGACCTGAAATGTTCTGTTGAACTCTTGTATTATTATTCCATTTTCTTAATACTGATACTGTTACCCATAAGTTGAGAATTGGCTGCTATCCTCAGAGTACAAAATGATTTAAGAGAACCTGTATTCTCAGACAATAAGGGTTAACAGTAAAGAAACAGTGTCACTTATCCAGTAGAGAGAGGTTGAAAGGAAATGAAACTTATTTCTTAGGTGAAGATCACATAGGGGCCTCATTTTGTATATAGTTATGGAGCTAGTCTTATAAAATTACATGAATGTAGCTCATCATTTTCACATGCCTGTTTTATAATATAATTTGTTATTTCTTTATTTTTTGTAAAAGTTCCAGTACTGTGTTCAATGCATTGAAAAAGACAGGCATGAAGCATAATATAAGGTCATTGCTCTTAATTGAAAAGGAGAATTGAATGACAACTTATGGAATGCATGTATCCCATTTGAAAGAGCATGACACTTTCATTTCAGACAGAAGCTAGAAATTATATGTTATAAATTATTTATTTTTTAAATGTCACTGTTATTAATTAAGTGTAAAGGCAGAAACCTGACAAATTGCAAGCCTGGACCACTCTGGCTATGCTAATACCTATTGTTGAAATCATCTCATTTGCTTTTCTCAGCAACTCCAATTGCAACTGAATTTTCATTGCTTGTAGCAATATGAATAAGCTTATCTGTATTTAGTGCTAGAAGTATTCACACTTTTAAATTCAGGTGATTGTGCAAAAGAAAGCTGTAATGGAACAACAAGATTAAATAGTATTTGAGATTTCACTGCAGTGAGTGTTCCAATTGTAGTTCAGAGTGTGGCCAGGATACACAGACGGTGTGAATTGAATTTATTTACATTCTATAAATCCTAAGCAGGTTAGTACCTTTGGATACAGAACAAGTCAAAAGGTTACATACATAAGTACAGGCAATTTTAGCTTAAAAATTAATATAACTTAATTTTACATCATTCTCTATTTACATTGAAGTATTCATCTAAAGAGTAGAAGGAATGAGCATGTAGATAATTCTTTAACTCTGATTTAAACTTTTTAGTATCATTGCCCAAGATTTTAATACTTTGTGGCAGACTGTTGAACACTTTTATGCCAGTAAAGTAGACTCCTTTTTGATATACTGATAAAGTTGATGAGGGTAGGTGGAAGTTATATTTTTGTCTAGTATTCATGTTATAGACATCAGAATTTAATTTGAATTTATCTTTGTTGTAAACAACAAATAAGAGAAGCGATAATATGTATTGCGATTGAAGAGGTAGAATTTTTAATTTCTTAAATAATTCTCTACATGAATCTCTACTTCTACATCCTGTAATGATTCTAATTATATTCTTTTGTATTTTAAAAATTATTACACTATGTGAAGAGTTCCCCCAAAATATTAATCCATAGTTCATAATAGAATGAAAGTAGGCATGGTAAACCATCTTCAATGTTTCCTGTGACATAAAAGGCTTAATTGATCTCATCGCATAGCAAGCTGCATTTAATTTAGGTATAATTTGTTCAATATGTATTTTCCAAGACAGTGTACTGTCTACATGTATTCCAAGGAATTTTGTATCAAGTACTTTACAGATTAATTTGTTGGCATAACTGATGTCCAGATCAATTTGGTGGTTGTTTTTAGTTGTGAATGATATGTAATGGGTTTTATCAAAATTTAATGAGAGTAAATTGGCTTCGAACCATCTGTTTAAGGCTTCAAATACAATATTTATGTCATTTTTAAAGTTTTCAAATTTAGAGTTCTTAAATATTATACTAGTGTCATCTGCATATAGAATTGGTTTAGATTTATTGTTGATGGTTTTAGATAGATCATTTATGTAGAGAAGAAAAAGTAAGGGACCTAAAATTGATCCTTGTGGAACACCGTGCTTTATAATTCCCCAGTTTGAAAATGCATTATGACTGGAGTTTTTATTATTTATTTCAACTCTTTGATACCTGTTTTTGAGGTATGATTTGATCCATTCATTAGCTTTGCCAGTTATTCCATAGAAATTTAATTTCGATAGTAAGATATCATGATTAACACAATCGAAAGCTTTTGCTAGATCACAGAAAATCCCTCCCACAATTAATCTGTCATTGAGAGCACTTAAAATATCGTTAGTTAGTTCATAGGTTGCTTTTTCTGTTGTTAGGTCTTTCCTAAATCCAAATTGCTCTTTGACTAATATGTTGTTAGAATTTAAGTGTTCAAGTAGTCTATTATACATAACTTTTTCAAAGACTTTTGAGAATGAAGTCAATATGGATATTGGTCTGTAATTAGAGATGCATTTTCTCTCTCCTTTTTTAAAAAGTGGTTTCATTACAGCGTATTTTAAGCGTTGAGGAAAAGTACCTGATGATAAAGATTTATTACATAGATGATTCAAGGGTGAACTGATGTAAACAGAGCTTGCTTTAAGTAATTTGGTAGAGATTTCATCATATCCATGTGAATTTTTGGGCTTAAGGGATTTAATAATGTTTTCAATTTCCTTCCTTGTTGAGAATTTGAGATTGATATTTGGAAATGAATTGTTAAAGGCACGAGACAGATAGTATATTGGATTATTATTATTATTATTATTATTATTATTATTATTATTGGAATATGTTTTCTCAGCTAATGAAAGGAAATATTCATTAAATGCACTTGCGATAGCTTGTGGATTGTTAGTGGACTTCCCTTCAATATTCAAACTTTGTACGTCTTCATTAACAGATTTCTTTCCTGATTCAACTTTCACAATATCCCAGGTGGTTTTAATTTTATTGTTTGATTTTAGAATTTGGCTGTTATAGTTATTCTGTTTGGCTTCTTTAATGACTTTTGACAAAATTTTACAGTACATTTTGTAGTGACTTTTTAGTCTTGGATCATTACTGTCCCTACTGGCCAAATATAGTTGTCTTTTGTGTTTACATGAAGTTTTTATTCCAATTGTTATCCAGGTGGATTTGTTTTTATTTTCATTTTTGACTATTTTTAAGGGAAAGCTTGAATAAAAGATCCTCAAGTATGTGTTCAGAAAGCAATTAAATTTAGAATCAATATTATTGCTGTCAAATACATTGTCCCATGATTCATTACTTAATTTTGTGACAAAATCTGCCATCGTATGCTTGTTGATTTTCCTTACTGTTTGATATTGTTGATTACTGGGCTGAAGGTCAATATTATTTATTTCTATGAGTTGAGCATCATGATCGGATAAGCCATTTATAAAGGGTCCTACAGTATAGTCTCTTAATTTTGAGTTATCAATGAATATATTATCTATCGCTGAACTAGAATTATTTTGAACTCTTGTGGGAAAGTTAACAGTACTGGAGAGATTGTAAGATGATAACAAAGAGTCTAAATTTAGTTTCCTATTACTGTCGATGAGATAGTTTATATTTATATCACCACAAATTATAAATTCAACTTTTGAACTATGCAGTACATTTAGGATGGTTTCTAATCTATTTATAAAGTGATTGAAGTTTCCAGATGGGGCTCTATATAAAGTCAGTATACAAATATTAGAAAAAGGAGAGTCTAACTTTAGAGCACATGCTTCCAGATCCTGGTCTTTGCAATAATCTTCTAAATTTATTTTAGTAAATTTTAGGTTTTCATGTACAAAAATACTCACTCCTCCTTTCTCCAGTGTTTTCCTACAGTATCTAGCACCTAAATTATAATTTTCTAAGTGAAGATGTTCTAATTCCAGCTGTTTCATGTGATGTTCAGTAAGGCACAGTATGTGTGGAAGATTTGAATTCATGGAGCTTATTAGTTCATTTGTTTTGTTTCTCAATCCTCTTATATTCTGATGGAATATTCTTAGTACTTTATTATTCACTGAATTTAGTAGACTGCAATTACCTTTTCCGATTTCTATTGGTTCACTAACATTATTGTCTGAAAGATTAGTTTCTTTTGCAATTTCTTTTACTTGATAAACTTTACTTGCACTCTTTATCCTAAAAAATGATTCTGAACACCCATGACAACTGGAATGTGTCTGCCCTTAATGCTCTCTGCAATGAGTCGCGTCAGCTTGTCCTTGCCTCGAGGATTAAGATGCAAACCATGGACAGTATGTTCGCTCCTCAATATTGAAGAGACATCAATCGCATCAATGTGGGCCGCGCCGACCTCCACAAGCGAACGCTCAAGCCGAAGATTAATCTCCCTTACACACCTGTTAATCCATGGCTTGTCATGTCGCCAGAAAAGACCAACAAACCTCACATTGGTGTGACTAGTTTTCTGGGCAATGTCACTTAAATCTTTCTCAATTTGATAATTGAGGTTTCTCTCCAAACTGTTACCTGGCCCCCCAACTATAACTACCTGATCTTCCTTACTAAAACCTTTGCACAATTTTCCAATGTCCCCAGTGACATTGCTCAGATCAGCATTGGGCTTGAATATGCTGGTCACAGCATATGCATCTCCCATTGCTTTCTGTAGCCTCTGCCCGATACCCCTACCATGACTGCTACCCAGCACTAGAATCTTACGCTTAGGCTTAGCCTCTAACACAGGCTGATCTATAGCGTCACCAACAATCTGAGGCCCTAGCATAGCTAGAGGTTCAAATCGATTGGTTAAATCTAACTTAACATCTAGTGAAGAAGGAACTTTTTTAAGTTTTCTTCGGGAGTTCGACACAGTCCTAAATTCTTCAGGACAATTATCTACTAAATTTAATTCCCCTTTTAAGAGGTCAATCTCAGTTCTTGCAAGTTCCAGCTCCCTTTTCAAACTCAAGATAGTCTCCTCTTGTTTCTTTATTACCTTGGTTTGCACACAGGAGTTGCAGTACCAAGGTAATATGGCCAAATCACTATTGGTGACATGGACTGTGATCACTCAAAACCATAGGAGGGACAGAGGAGATACAGCCCATCCAGGGCAATAGAAATGGTGAACTGGAATTGCGAGAAATTGCCAATTTATGTCGAGAGGAGGAAACTGCCCTTTCCTATCAGAAGCAAGAGACAGAAGAAGGATTTATCTAAGGGAAAGGACAGTTTCTTCCTGTTGATACTACATGGCAGTTTCTTAAAATTGCAGTTCCTCTTGACCTGGACAAGCTCTATTTCCTTTTCTCTGCATTTTTCTCACTGTTCCTATTGCATATTACTATTGAAAAATTCCCTGAAAAGTAAATTAATTAACATACCATGCATAATTTTTATTATTTCAGCCTCTGAAGGTAACAACACCTCGAGGAAGTGACTACCTCTTGCAGTATGATGAGGCTGGAGCGCTGCAGTCACTAACAACCCCACGGGGACATATCCATGCATTCTCCCTTCAAACATCACTGGGATTTTTCAAGTACCAGTACTTCTCACCTATGAACCGCCACCCATATGAGATACTATACAATGATGATGGTCAGATCTTGTTCAAAGTATACCCACACCAATCTGGTAAAGTGGTATATATCTATGATCAAAACGGGAAACTGGAGACAATCCTTGCAGGTCTTTCATCCATCCATTATACATATCAGGAGAGCATGAGTCTTGTGAAGAGTATCGAAATTATAGAACCAAACTTTGAGCTGAAGCAGGAATATAAGCACCATGCTGGGATCCTCAAGGATGAAAGGCTCAAATATGGAAGTAAGAGTGGCCTAGACAATGCTCATTTCCGCTATCAGTATGATGGAAATGCCAGAATATCTGGTATTGATGTAGAGATCAATGGCAAGGAACTGCCTCAGTTAAGACTGAAGTACAACCAGAACTTGGGAATGCTGGAAGGCGTCAGTGACCTCCGTATCTATCGCAATACTTTCAACCGTTCGGTGATGCAAGACACCAGTAAGCAATTCTTCACCATCACTGATTATGACAGCCATGGTCGCATAAAGTCCCTGCTTATTAATATTAAGTCATTTGATGTGTACAGACTTGAGCTGGATTATGACAAACGCAACAGAATCAAAACGCAGAAACTAAAAATTGGTGCAACATCCTCTACAGACCGAGTAACCTATAATGCTGATGGTCATGTGATGGAAGTGATAGGCAATGGGAACTGGAAATATGTTTATGATGAGAATGGTAATGTCATAGGTGTTATCGAACAAGGCGAGAAGATCTCCCTGGGGTATGATAGTGGTGACCGTGTGGTTCAATATGGTGATGTAGAGTTCAATAGCTATGATGGACGAGGTTTTGTGGTGCGAAGAGGGGAGCAGAAATACCGTTACAATTCCCGTGCTCAGCTTATCCATGCATTTGAACGTGATAAGTTCCAGACTTGGTATTTTTATGATGATCGTGGTCGCCTTATATCGTGGCATGATGAACGCGGCAATGTAACACAATATTTCTATGCCAACCCTAGTACTCCTGATCTTATCTCACATGTTCACTTTCCTAAGACTGGTCGAACATTTCGACTTCTGTATGATGAGCATCATGTACTTATCACCGTGGAGACATCTGAACAGCGGTTCTATGTGGCATCAGATCCTAATGGCTCACCACTGGCATTGTTTGATACCAATGGCAACATTATAAAAGAAATTCGTCGTACACCTTTTGGTAAAGTGACTAAGGATTCAAATCCAGACTTCTACCTTCCTGTTGACTTCCATGGAGGATTACTGGACCCTAACACAGGCCTTGTATACCTCAACAAGAGATTATATGATCCCGTAGTAGGGCAGTGGATGACTCCTGCCTGGGAGGAGCTGGCCAACCAACTCACTACACCAACAGATGTCTTCATCTATCGCTTCAACAACAATGATCCTATCAATCGCAGACACAACATTACATATATGACAGGTTGGTGCCATATCACGATTACTGAACATGTGAATATGCTTGATAATCACTGTTTAGTTGTGATGGAATTTTATATGCAGAAGATAGATATATTGTAGTAAGCAGTCATAGAATATACAGAGTTGTTAGAATCATAAAAAGTAATGAAAATTGAGGGCTTGTGGAATGTGACACGGTCAGATTAGTAGATCTATGTGTAGAACCTCAAATTTGATACTGTGAAATTAATGCATAAAATGGGGCCCTGATATAACGTACCCTATTGTACTCTAGAATTGGGTATACAGCAGCAGTGATCATGGCCACAGTACGATTGTGTACTGCAAATATCAGTTTCACATATAATGCGGGTACCAAAGTTGACCCTTGGAATGCATGTTATATCTGGGGTCCACTGTATTTATGAATGGCACATATTTAAAAATATTGTGACATGTTGCGCAAAGCCGAGGCCCTCTCTTTTTGAACCATGATATGTTTACAGTGGCCGTCTTGTAGTGCACTCAATTTCACCTATCACTTCACAAAATGTTTTGGCAACATAGTGCCATCATCAGGTGTCCCAATTATGTCAATCTATTGCATTGCTTGCCCTCATATGTTTTCACAACACCATTTAAAAAGTATTTAAAAAGTCCGTATTTGTCAACTATGATAATTTTACACTCGCTAAAACTTGTTAAGATAATTCATCTTATTTGCCTTAATTAAAACTTTCATGTGGTTCGTTCACTATGGGGTCGTTTTTCTTATTTTCTGTGTAAACAGCGTCTTGTGATGTGTGTTCCCTTCTTAGCTGCGAGTGTTGTAATGTGTTGTGAAAATATATGAGGGCAAGCAATGCAATAGATTGACGTAATTGGGACACCTGATGATGGCACTATGTTACCGAAACATGTTGTGAAGTGACAGGTGAAATTGAGTGCACTACAAGACGGCCACTGTAAACATATCATGGATGAAAATCAGTGCAACAGGACGCTAAAATGTAACATTCTCTTTTTGAAATTTGGGGTTATCACAGTGGTAAACATTTAGATTGTGGTCTTATGGGTTATGATTGCATGTAGTCTGGAAGTGGTTCGACTGTTCTGAAGGAACTAGCTTCTTCCTTTACCAGGGTAGATGAAACTGGACATTTTACAAGAGGTTTCCAAACTGAAATAATTCTATTTGTCCCTCCCATTTTAGCCTAAAAAAAAAGTTAAATGATAATTCACAGCAACTAAAAGCAATTGAATCTTCTCGTTAAATCAGCCACATGAATTCAGACCTGAAGTGTCATATTTCTGAGAACATCTCTGACTCTGTTATCAAGGAAATGTGCGGTGATCTGATCAGCCTTTGATGGAGATCCAGTGATCAAGACTAGCTCCTTCTAATGGGCCCAACAATCCCAGGAGCCATTACCCACTTGCCCCTGAGAATGGAAACTGATCCAGCTTCCAAAACATAGTGTATATCAGTGGATAATGTCCAACATAGCTGGGCATAGTCCCCAGATTTCTGTGCATCGGATGGCACAAACCATCAGAGAATCTCTCAGATAATCCATATGACTTTATTGCATCATCAACACTGGAGAAATCCTATTTTTTTTATCACTTTCTATAGTACCACCAGGCAATAGTGAAATGAACAACCAAGCATGAACCTGAATGATTTAAACAGCAAAAACTGAAGCATAGGAGATAAACATTTATGGGCACTTTAGAAAGTCAGTCTAGACCCTATGTGAAACTATGCAGCAGGAGTGGTGATGCCATGTAAGCTAATAGAACACTATTATTATATTTCAGCATCCTGTTACACTCACACAATATATATGGACAAATACCGTCTTAAGTGCAACAATTTTATTGTAGTTTTTACTTCTTTTTCCTCCTCCACACTACATGTTTCGGCCCTAAATGGCCATCATCAGGTGTGTATCACTCACGCAACTGTTACACTGCTTGTTAAAAATTTAAAAACACCAGTCTTTCCAATGGTATAAAATCTTTGTCAATCTACACGCGTCAATTTGATCTTTAAATTAGCACTTTTTAAACCCCAATTCAAGTTAAAATGTCTATAAGATCTTTGTTCTCTTTCTTTTTCAAATTTTTCAATTAAAGTTTTTCAGGGTACATGCCCTATATCTACGGTGCTGCAGCGGCCACTTCTTGTTTTTATCGCCGTTCATGTGTTGTCTGTAATATACAAATATTCGTGTTACTATCCTATGCTATGCCATGTTATGCTATTCTTATATGTTTATACTGTTATTTGTACTTACTCAGTGTAGGCGCTCTCTGTGTGTGTCGCTGCTTATCTTTAATACGTGTGCTGTCTGGTGTACTGTGTGCTGTGTTTTATGTTCGTGGGTGTTGGAGGGGGAATGGGTAGTGGGGGAGGCAGGTACCGTTAGTCTGTATAGATTTCGCATATAGTTTGAAATATGGGATTGTATGTTTCTATGTGTGTGTCATTCATTTGTAGGCCTTTCTTACTTATTTTATATATATGGTATTTCTCTAATGTATTCAAATGTTTACCCTTTTTTCCCGTTGTTACAACTTCCATTACGTCTGTTATTGTTCCGTATGCATGTCCCGTATTTAGTATGTGATTTGAGTACCCGGAATTGCAATTATTATTTCTAATATCATGTAGATGTTCTTTATATCTAGCGTTAAATGTTCGGCCCGTTTGTCCAATGTATTTCAATGGGCAATCTACACATTTCATTTGGTATATGCCACTTTTATTGTATTTATCTAATTGTGGTTTTTGTTTGAGTATGTTTTCTATTGTGTTACGTGTGCGGAATGCTACTTTTATCTGTGTGTCTTTAAAAAGTTTTGTAATTTTTCTTACTTCTTTTGTACTATATGTAAATATGGCCCACTTTGTTTTTGGTTGTTGTTCGTCGTCATTTGTGTTTGATTTTTGTTCTCGTTTTGTCTGATT